TTCTTCAAGCCCAGGGGTCAAAATTGCTCGGACCAAAATACCCCTAAAGCCCTAGCTCAAGCCTATATAAAGAGGTCTTCATAAGACCAAAAGAGGAGATACACACACATACATACACACAGAAATACATAGTTGCTCTTCATTGGTGATCTGCAAGTCTTCCGCATACAAAGAAGACTTCGCTCCAAGTGTTGAGCCGCAAGTATTCCGCCAAATCAAGAACATATGTGTAGAGAAGAATTAGGGGATTGCATATCTCTTTAAGAGATTTTATAAAGATTGTAACCTTCGCATTAATTCAAATACAAATATTATTGTTTGCTTGCTATTTTTCCTTTCATGTTTACTGTATTTCAGGATTGAAACTTTAGACGCTTACAGGTGGTTAGTTTTTTTTCGAAGATTGGAAAAGAAAAAAAGTAATTTAGTACTTGATAGACAATTTTAAGATATTAATAAAAAAGGATGGACTAATTTTTACAGAAACTTTTATCTCTAAGCTATTTTTTAAAATATCATAAAGATAACAGTTTGAATGTCTTTTCTTTAAGAATATATCACTAAATTGATTGTTTGGTCATTTATTTTATATGTAAAAATAGCAAAAAAAAATAATTAATGAGTAGTTTACGAAATCAATTCTTGAAAAAAAAATATACGAATTCATCAGTAAATTTTGAATATTATTGCATATAACATAGAATCTGACGACAATTTTAGATAGAGAAAATATTTCTAAATATTATTGCATATAACATTAAGTTAATATGAGCATATAAATAGTAATAATGTATTATTATAATTTTTTTTTAAAAAAAATTACCATAAGAAATTTTATAAATTATTCTTAATTTAAAAATATCCGCGCAACGCGCGGGCACGTATACTAGTAATTAGTAAAATTACACGAACACATTTTTTGCATCAAATACACTTTTGCACTTGAGTTATTATGATAAGGATAAGTTAAAAGGAAAAAGGAACGGAAGATGTATTCTGAAGCATGGTATGGGTTGATGGAACTTTGTAATGTTTCATTTTATTGCTTTATTTGCTATGAATCAACCCCGGCCCGACAGGAACTTTGACGTCACAAAATCAGTTATTGGGCCAAAAAGGTTGATTTGGGATCCAGGCCTAATTAGCAACTAATTTAAAAGGAAAAGAAGTTAGAAAGAGAGGTTATGCGTATTATGAAGAAAATGTCTTTTCCTCTCATCTTCTTTCTAGAGTCTTAACTTCTCATCCCCATTCTTATCTGTGTCTTTAGTTACTTGTTATTTCGGTACTTCTCGTTGTAATTCAAGTGTTGTTATTATAATTTGGTTATCAATGAATATAGTGTTTATGTATTTGTATTGAGAATTCGGGTTTGTTTCATTGGTGCTTTCATTGAGAGGTTTCTCTAATGGAGGACCAAAAAGTAGTCAAGGATTTCGTTGATGATTCAATCAAAGAAATGAAGGATTCTATCTCTAAAGATCTCACTGAATTTCGTTCAATGTTGCTGGAGGCTTTCGGGGAAAATGCCATGTATTTTGATAAATGTTCATGGGTAACTAAGAATATTGAGGATCATCTTGATTATTTATGCATGGAGTATGAGTATGGCATATCAGCAATAGAACCACACAAGGTGTGTACGATGACTAGAGATACTATTGAAACACATTTCCCTACTGATCTTGAACATCATGTTACCCCGTGTGATGTGGCCAATGACTATGCCGTTGTTGTTGAAAATAATGACAAAAATGAGAGAGAGACCTCACTTATCATTCCTATAGAAGATAATGTGATTTTCGAGTTTTACCCATTCCTTTTCTCCCAGCCCTGTTGGTCATTGATGCCTGAAGATTTTGGGGGTCTAACATTGCCTGATGATTTTGGGGATCTAACATTGTGTGTGAGCGTAAAAAATGGCTTAACCCCTTTCTATTGGTTTGACACTGGGCAACATACTTCTCAGCCCAAACACAACTTGAGAATAGGTTGCTCACAATTTGCTACTCAAAATGCTGGTGAGCCACATCCAAGGGTTCTTGCTATCAAGGTAACAACTTATTGTTATTTATTGCCTCAACAACCTGAGATGGATCTTTATGTTTGGGATCCAGGAATTAGTTCCAAATTCTAGGTTGTCACAAGTTCTATAGACAGTTTGGAGGTGTTAATAGTGTTTGAAGTAATTGAAAACAAATGGAGTTGTTTATGTGCAAAGTTATCGGACTGGAAGTAGTTAAGTAGAGTTGAAATAGGTGTTGAGACCTTTAATGCCATGTATTTTGATAAATGTAAATGGCTAACTGAGAATATTGGGGATCATCTTGATTATTTATGTATGGAGTTTGAGTGTGGCATATCAGCAATAGAACTCCATTCTTACGATAACAAGGTGGAAACCGAATTTATTATATCAACAATATTTTTGTGCAAGATTTTTTAGTACCAATTGAGGGTTGTACGAAGGCAGAACAAATGGATGACGTTGAGTTCTCCTTATTTTGTGTGCAATATTCTCATGAAAGCTCTATACAGCCTTTTGCCAAACGACAATTTTGAATGGAGCATGACTCAACCTAATTCCTATTCCTCACCAGGTTTCGTTGTTTCTCTCACCTTTGCAAATCGTCCATTTGATCCTAGTATACATGATATTCCTCTATCTTATGGTGCCAACGAGAATATGTTTCGAAATACTAGTTTTGTTTCTACCTATATTTTAGTAGTGTGGGGTGAACAAGTTTGTTGTCTTAGGCGGAAACATTTAGGCACTGCTGCGTTTGAATATTTTATTTGTTTCTTGGATCCTCTCTTAGCACTCAATTCTGTTAGCTTGGATGTGAGCATGGGTTATATTAGCTGCAAGCAACTAGAGAAATGTGAATTTGGACCAAAGTTAATTTTTACTAATGCAAGTGTTGATGCTCGTTGATATGATTATGCACGTCTCTGCAAGGTATGTAGCAAGCAAGAAGTTTCTCCCTTGGCGGACATGTAAGGAATCATCTAAAAAGTATGACCTTTTTCTACCCATGGTGGCTATATGGTTTATGGGGGCTCGGAGTTGTCTGAACTCTCCCCCATATCAGTGCTCAATACTACTCCCAAAATATATTAGCTCAATATGTTTAAAAATATAACTTTGTGGTGTGAGATAATTGCTCAAAACTTAGCTCAAAGGCACTCTTGGAAATCAAAGCTTCCTCTCTTGCTTAACTGTGAAAGCATTTACTCTTTACTGAAAAACTAGTTCAAAGGCTCTACTGAAAAACTAGCTCAAAGACTCTTTACTGAAAAACTAACTCAAAGGCACTTTTAGAAATCAAAGTTTCCTTTCTTGTTTAAATGTGAAAACATTTACTCTTTGGGAAAACATAGTCCCGATATACTCTTTTTGAAGAAATGAACCTCAATCTTTACTCTTTACTCAACTCAAAACTCAAGTCTTAAAACAAAGTTAAAACGTTTGTAAAAGACCTTTGGAAAACTCTAAGAACTTCTCTTGACTTGACTCTTAATTTCTCTTGACTTGACTCTTGACTTCTCTTGACTTGACTCTTAACTTTCCTTGAATTGAATTATGGATTCAAGGCTCATGATTTTATGTTATGGATGATTTCATGTTGTTTAGAAGTACCTTAGAGTGTAGAGATCAACTAGTAAACATAGGTACGTTACAAGGAAACTAGTACGGAAAGAAGTGGGAAAAAGTAGAAGACTTGGCGTCCCTGGCGCTCTGAGTGGAGTGGGGCACCAGACCCAAAACTTCAGAGTCTGGCTTGGGGAGCTCTGGCTGGCGCGGCGCCCCAGAGGCCAAACTTCAGAGAACTTTGTGGGGCGCTTTGAGTGGCGCGACGCCCCACCCCTTTTCCCAGATTTTTGAAGAATTCTCTTGGTCGTTTTTCAACTCTAAACCCTCTAAACTCAATTGGGTTTTCCCCCAAACACTTAGATTCAACTACATAACCAAAATATGCAAGAATCTACTCAAAACAACACCTAATTTCATGAATTTGAATCAACAACTTCTCAACAATTTCAACGAATCAAGAACTCAATAGAACTTTAACAAAACCCATCAAGAACTCAATCTCTAAACCTTCAAGAACATATATTCGCTGAAATAAATCATGATTGGCGCATGGGTGAACTAACCCAATGCTATGTGATCTCACATACCTCGTAGGGATCACCCCTTGACGAAATCCACAAGCAATTCTTCAAGAACTAGGCGATTCCTTGTTGTTTCTTCTCTTTTCTCTTCTTTTCTCTTCTCTCAAAACCCTAACTTAATTTCAATTAGCATAAATTGAATCCAATCAGTTTAGACCCCAACTTAATAACCAAAAATGAAATTAATTAATTGGGTGGTGAAAAGACCATAATGCCCTTCTAAAATTCGATTTTGACTTTTCTTATCTAGACAGCCCAACTTCAAATTGGCATATCTCCCTCATACGAACTCGAAATGGCGCAAACTCGGCGGCGTTGGAAATATAATTCAAAGATCTTTCCTACGGTATCTTGTAGCACACCTAACTCATCCTGATCTAGGAGTTATGGTTATTTGAAGTTGACCCAAAACTCATACTTAACTTTGTCAAATTTCCAGATTTTCCGTTCTTTCCAAAAATGACTTTCTAATTCTAGCTCTTTCTAATTGCGGGGTGTTACAGTTATAACATATATTCATGGTATTATTTAATTTTTGTATGAATGATTTTCTATTTAACCTCTGTATCCTTGTGTATTCTCAAGACATTTTCTATTTAACCTCTGTATCGGTTAACTATGACGACAGAATGATTTGTGCAAGTTGCCATTGATACATCATGTGTTTATAGAGAAACTAATAATGGATAAGAACCAAAGAACAAATATGAAAATGGATATGAAACATGATGACTGAACCAACTTTTCTTCTATACAGCCAACATGTCTCGTGGAACAGATTGTACAGCCTCTAAAGGAAACAATAAACACCGTGTTCCCTGAGAAGTAAAATATATCTGGTTTCTTTTCATATGAACATACATTCCTATGGAATCTGAGCAATCTCAACCAAAATCTTATGCAGCGACTGTGGCTTCGAAAAGAATGGGCAATGGTCGCTTCCTTTGATCTTGAAAACACCTCCAGGAGGGTTTTCCCTCAAAAGTTTTTCTTGAACATCTGGTGAAAGAGCATGATCATCCAATGTCTGGACATAAAATCTATGACTTGTTCCATATTTTTCAGGTGTCAATGATAGCTTCTCCATTATTGGACCAAGAGGAATTGCTCTCATTGAAACCATTGCCAAAGCAATATCCTACAGAAATGATAGGTACCATGAACATCTGGATGAGCATCAAATACATTCCACATATTTCTTCATAATAATTTTGCAATATTGAGTACAGGAAAATTAAGTCAGCCAAAAGGAAAAAAGAAAGGCGACATTCTAATCCTCTATGGTCCAGTTCTCTATGGTTTTATCACAAGCGACCATCTTGAAAATTCTGTTATCTAAGCGTATCTTCAGTAGACACAAAGCTACTAATTAGTTGTATGCTTTATTTTACACTCATTAGGTGCTTTTAGAATCTCATCAATGATTTGTGATTGAAATTAGCACAAAAGAATATATTGCTCATGCTCTTAGAAAGGTCGTAGGTCAGAACAACAAGAATATATCTGTGAAATAACCATGGATTAAAAATTATTTACCCCCTCGATCCAAATTTTTTTTGCCATTTTGACTACTCAAAACATGAACGGAAATTTGGTCAAGGCATCATCAAAAAAAAAAAAAAAAAAATCCTCCTGGTAGAAAATTCTAAGCCCATTATCTATTTGTGGTAGTTTATAACTTTTATCTTCCAACCTATTTAGGGGTAAAGTCTGCGTCCATCTTACCCTCTCCAGTCCCCACTTGTGGGATTATACTAGTATGTTGTTGTTTGTATCTTTAAACCTAACAAAATTAGTTTCAATCTTTTTATTAGAAAAATCTCTCATCCTAAACTTTCTTTGAACGTAATTCTAAAACCGAATCCCAATTTGATCATTGAAGGTTGAATCTGCGGCAGACATTTCAGGACAGAAGGAGTACTTCAGCCTTCACCAACACTGAACGTTGGAAGTGCTTCTAAACTTTATTTTTTATCTTGCTGTTATTCACTTGAAATGGAGTTGCTTTAACGTGTATGACCCAAGTAAAGCTTATAACTCACCAGAAATATCATGTCGTACTACCACTATCACTCCCAGCCGTCAACAAAGAAAAGGAAAGTTGGGGAGGAGGGAGGGAGAGCAAGAAAGATGTACTAGGTGATGCATCTGTCTTCTGCAAACGAAGTACTAATAGCATAGCTTGAGAAATCAGAAAGCACATGCATTTGCAGCACACTACGAATGATAAATTAGCATAGATAACGGAAGAAGTTCTCCCGAGGAAGTACCTTTGCAGGAGATTGATTGAAATACAGCCCATGCATCTGCTCCTTCTCAAACATGAAGCCAGTAGGAGGCTTCTCTTTACCATTCCCATAAATTAAAAACTTAGACTCCTTCATGAAAAGCTCTGCCGAACCAAGCTGCAAAATAGACCTCATGTAAGCACATCATGGTGGAAGTATTCTATAACAGTAATACACTAAAATAGCATTTCAGATGCAGGTTTATTATGGGAAGTGAATGATTCCTTTGAGATGTTCAATTGATCGGTTATCATGAAAGAGGCTGTGAACCAACAAGTGGTACAATATGTATCCTATCCTTTTTGACCTCATCAGTTCTCCACGATGCGTATTATGATATGAATGCACTGAGATTCTCATTCAGTATTCAAAAGCTCACTTGTTGTTATTCCAATTTGTTAAAGGGTTAAAGTTCAAAGTTTCAACACATTATAATATGCTTCAGAAGATGGGAGAAGAAAATGAACTGGTCAGTCTTGGGCTGGATTGCAATGTGGAACAGTTCAAATGCTGAGAATTCTAGTCAAAAGCTTACAGCGCTCATGTTCCCATTTTCAGTCCTTTGCTTTTTCTTCCCATGTTTCGGTCTATTCTCTTGTCACTCCTCTATAATTAAGGTGAGATGATCTATCAAAAGTTGCACCAATGGTTGTCACAGCATTTTAGGAAAGAGAAATAGACTTTTGTAAAAGCTTGACCATGTTCTCAACTAAGAAAACTTGGTAAGGCTCAAAGGTAGAGAAGAAGCACCACAGAAACTTGTTGCCAAAAAAAAGGATCATTTTTGTAGCATTTTTTATATTATTAGCTCTACTTCAAATACAAATAAAATAACCTAATGTTGAATAGGGATGACTTCTGCTCCAACAAAGACAACAACATACCCAGTGTATTCCCATAAGTGGGGTCTGGGGAGGGTGGTACGCAGACCTTACCCATACCTTGTGAAGGTAGAGAGGTTGTTTCCAATAGACCGTCGGCTCAAGTGTATCAAACCCAGGAAAAAGAAGAAGAAAACACTGGCGAAAGCATATCTAAGAAAAAGTACAATGTTTTAAAAGGGGGTCAAGTGAACTCTTATTCTCTTCCCCAAAAAAAAATTTACTTTCTGACCTGTGTTCCACATTTGCTGTATTTTTTTCTTCATATTTTATTACTTTTAGCTCTTTATGCAACAAAAATTGTACAGCAACTCTATGAACCTCAATCAAAACGAAATGGTGCTTTTAGGAACCATGACTGCAAACTCGGGGCAATCATGAGTCTGCTCATGATGTTGTATCTGTATCCTTTTTCCACATACACACTGGATCATACTCATGATGTGGTATCTGTATCCTTTTTCCACATACACACTGGACCAATTTTTATTCTGCTCAAATTCTCCTATACTACTTCAACCAAAATAAGTAGTTTTAGACAATGCATTACTATAAAACAAAATAGATTTTTAATTCAACAGAATAGTAAATCAGGAACAAATTGTCAATGGTTTTCAAATATTTAGACATTTTCAGTTGTATAGGATATCTACCTCTTCGGCAAACACATCAAAAGGCCTCTGTCCATCAGATATCATTGTAGCACAAATAAATATTGCTTTCGCAATTTTCTGTGGGAAAAGCTCCAAGGCATAGGAAACACAAGAACCTCCAATACTGTGACCTACCAAAATTACCTGAAGGAGAACACATAATCATTTTTAGGTTAACCACAACGTTAGTCCTTGTTGAAATTCATTCATAGTAAAATAATCAATAAGAAGTGTGCCACATATCTCATACCTTTTCATCCTCAGGCAAGTTTTCCAGATAATCAATCAATGGTTTTGAGTACTCCGCCAGTGTTGTAACATCTTTTGTATCTGTCAGATCAATCCCAGATCCAGTGAGATCTATGGTTGTGGGAAGCAATCCTGTTTCCTCCAATAGAGCAATAGTTTTGTACCAACACCAAGCTCCGAATCCTTCCCCATGTACCAAAATGAACTTCTTTGTTTTGATGCTCTCCAAAAATTCTGGTAACTTTACAGCATAAATTATGTAAGGCAACTAATAGTGACACGTGAACATCGTCTAAATTTATAAAGATTCAGTATTCGTTTTATCTTTTCTCAAAACTGCTATGTAAAATCCCACAGAAAGTGCCGTCTCATTTGACCTAGATCTAATTTCTGTTCTTCATGTAAGCTACTTTTATTTATATATGTCATTCACATAATTTAGTACAGTAAAGTACGTAACACGAAACAATAATCTAAGAATTAACAGATAAGAGGAGCCTTGTAGAGAATAGGAATATCTTATAGCAGCAGATAACAAGGTATAAACTAGAAAGCGATGGGCCATCTACTCTGGTATCGTCCAACCTAGGTATTCAGAATGGCATATATAAGTTGCAACCATGTTTGGACGGAAATCTGAAGAAATATTGTTCCTGGTAAGCTTTGCAGTAGACTAATGACGAACAAAGTCAAGAGTAATTACATATGCCACTTAGGATAAAGTTTCCCTTCATCTATCATGTGAATTGCAAGTACTCGCATAGACGATCCATCTATGATGTGAATTGCAAGTATTCGCTCAGACTACCCATCTATGATGTGAATTACAAGTATTCGCTCAGAGAATCCATCTATGTTGTGAATTACATGTACTCGTTCAGACAATCCATCTATGACGTGAATTACAAGTACTCGCTCACACAATCTGTACAGGTATACACAAGACGACAGAGCAAGAAAAGGAGATTGACTTTTGGGACCTCATATCAAAACCATACACAACAAAATTACAGTCTAGGAAATAGTATATACATAAAAAAAATTTACAACCCAAAAGAGAAGAAAAGTAAACAAGAAATTAGCCAACCTTATACTTTCAGGCCCTGGGAGTATTCAACCCTAAACTTCCAAAACCAAAGGAAATCCCAAAAGAAATACTTGTTAAACATCTTATAAACATAAAATTAGCAATGTAATGCATCACCAAAATTAAGAAAAAGATGCGTTTTGTCTTTTGAGAGTTTGTTTTGTTCTTTCTTTTTTCTAAAAAAAATCTATTTGGATAGGGGGAAAAGTTTTTACTTTTTGCAACAAAAAGTAGTACACTTTACACTTTCCCAAAGTTTCTACAAAAATCTAAAAGAGAATCATCATTTCTACCACAAATTCTACAAAATACAAAACAAGAAAAAGAGACAAAAGAGAAAAAGGCCAACTTTTATGAGTTCCATTGTGCTACTACCCCATCAAACTCATAATAACAGACCTGGATATACACCAAAAAATAAGAAAATACATTTTTTTAAAAAAATTAAAAAAAGAAAAGTTCCCACCAGAACCAGTCTTACAATATACATATCCATAGATCCCAAAATACTGTTTCAAAATAGAAGTGACCAAACATTAAAATAACCGCAAGAGAAAGAAAGAAAAAAAAAAGCAACTGTGTAAAAGAAGAGGTTTGAGAAATAATACCTGCTTAGAATTGGATTCAGACAAATCAGTGCGACGGCGAGAAGTAGTGGATCCAATACGTCTGGAAATTGACCCCTCAAATCTTTGAGACAACTGATGCTGCTGAATTGCCATTGACAAAGCTTGTCTATGCAATAACTCCTCTTCTACTAACGACCTCCTCTTCGATCTCTCCATTCCTTTACTCATTGACCCTATTACATTCCTCCCATTTTCCTTCTTCGTCATGCAAATAAATCGATTCCCCATCTTTTCAAATTCAATTCCCCGTAATTTGCTCAAATTGGTCTGAAAACTAAATTTTGTGCACAACCCAGATTCTATTGTGCTTTAAATTTCACAAAATGGAGATTCACACACAAGTCAGATACTGTTTTTGCTCAAAAATCCTACCAGAAGTGAATCTCAACTGCAATAAATGAACTTTTTGTGCAATACCCAGATACTGTTTCGCTTCAAAATATGTGAATTTCGACTGCAAAATGGTTAAGTCACTGGAATTGGCCACTGAATATGGGAGTGGGAGTAATGGGGAACTGCAAAAACGACGACGTTGTTAAGGAGTAGGTGGTTTTTAATTCATCATGGATTTGATTGTTTGTGAGCCCAAATTCTGGAAGAATCAACTCATAAATTCCAACCGCATATGCAAGCAAATTTTAATGCTGTTTTCTCTTTTTATTATTAAAACGTTGAAAATTCTTACCCCGCTATTTTGATTTTCATTTATTTATTTCTTTTATACTAGCTGTCAAAAAAAAAAAAAAATTACACAAAAGATCGATTTTTTCCACAAAACTTCATACTCCCCGTCCCTCCTCTTCAATTTATATTAGGTATTGTATTGCAATCATACAAGCGCCATATGGCATAATGTTGTTTATGTGAAAGCTTACATAGGAAAGAAAACTAGCTTTAGTAAAATATATTTTAGATAAATGTGGGTAGCTTTCCTGGTAGATTCTAGAATATCATAGATTTACATGAAAAGATTTTGATAGATTCTTAGATTGTAGAGTATTCTGAAAAAGAAACTTATTTATAAATATGTAGGAATTTATTTAACAATTAGTACTTACACATTAGCTCCTATGTAAGTAGTATAAATAGAGGAGTATCCATTTGTAAAATCATTGGCAATCCTCTTGTGTTCTCTCTTCTATTCTTTTAGCGATTCCTAGAGTTTTAGGCTGATTTGACATAGCCAGATATAAGAACATGAGAAAATTGTCTAGTGTCACTAGAGGCGGATCTAGAATTTGAAGGTTGTGGGTGTCATATCGTTAGGTTGATTGAATCGATCAAATTATTACTCGTTAAGTCTCAATCGTTTGTAATTTTTTGTCTAACTATTACACCCTCCGTCCCAATTCTTTAATTAGTATAACAAACTTAAGAAAATTGTGTCACATAAATTTAGATGGAGGATCGAAGTACTTTTCTATGCTTCGAAAAAAAGTAAAAATTACAACGAAAAAATATCGGCAAAAATCAAATTTAGAACTTCTATAACTTGATATCAATTGGATTTGAATTGCGATCTTTACACAAATTATTATATTATATTAAAGATCACATATACCATATTATAATAATGTCTATTTGAAGTCAAATGTTGCCCATGGCCTAATGGTATCAACATTGTTTCTTCATGGGTTGATTGCGGGTTTGAGTCCAAGCCCCAACATTTTTATTTTGCGAAAGAAACGACAAATGCATTAAACATTAAGCTAATAGAGAATTGAACTTGCGACCAGGAAGCCGAAAACTCAATCCTTAACCACTGGCACCATGCACTTACTTTTGTCTAGGGGTGGCAAGTTTATTATTCATAAGTTTTTTATGCATATATATATATAATCAACCGAGACCACTGGGTGTTGTGGCACCCCATGCACCATGATACATAGATCCGCCCCTGAGTGTCACATGTGTGCTTAGTAGAAGATTAAGGGCGTGACAACGTGATATAAGAGCAAGGTTACAACTAAGGAAATGACAAACGATGGAGAAATCAACGTTGCTAACACTCATACTGCCACGACTCAAGACTACCCCTAGTCGTGACCAAAAACTAATCGCCATATGTGACCCAAATGGGTCCTTGGAACAACATATATAACTAAGTTAAATAAAAAAGTAATTGAACTATATTGAAAGACTTAATAAGTGACGAGAGAGAGTTACTCGGATGGTAAGCACCCCTCACTTCCAACCCGAAGGTTGCGAGTTCGAGTTACCAAGGGAGCAAAAGGGGTGGGAGCTCCTAGGGAGGGAAAAAAAAACTTAATAAGTGAACATATAAAAACAACTTTACTAATGAATCTGAGCATTTTTAAATATAAAAATTATTACTCTATGTCTAATGAAGCCTCTACTACTAAGACATGAAATAACCTGAGACAAGACCTCATAACCTTTATTGAAAAGAAAGAACAAACCTCTAAGCTAACTAGAAAACTAAAATAAGACTCTGCCTCTCCGAAACATTGGGAGTGCTCACCAAACAACTAAAGTGTAAATGCTACCGAACTACTAACAATGATCTCGAGTCTGAGAACTTGAAATCTAGATCACATGAGAAATGTAGTGCAAGACGCAGTCAATCAATGATATGTATTGGTATGCAAGTTATACATATACATATATATCAATAATCTTAAAATGAAAGTGAAAATCGTAAGAACAACTTCATATCATAAGTGGATATCAAAACATAAGTTATGATGAAGTCCTTTAAAGCATCATAAACATGTTGAAAATAAAAGAGAATCATGAGTCATAGAGCCTGCATAAAACTTATTTTTTGATGCGTATATATATATATATAACAAAGGAATAGCTTTGGTGAGAGTTTCTTACAATCGACATACATCATATAGTTCATGATGCACCAACTTACAATCCCAGTTGAAGAGGTCTGCCCTATACTTCGCCAAATATATATATATATATATATATATATGTGCAATCACAATCCCTTGGAGAGGGTTGCCCTATACTTTGCCACAACACCATATCATATCTATGTGGATGATCCAGGGGCGGACCCACGTAGTCAATTTTGGGTGCTCGAGCACCCATTGACTCGGGAAATTTTTTTGTATATATATATAGAAAATATGATAAATACGTTATTAAATAAAAATAAGCACCCATAGAATACTAGCAGTCGTGGGTGCGCTGGTTAACACTTGGAAAAATAAGGCGCGCGAAGCATGAGGGCGAGGGTTCGAATCCCATCAGCCCCATTCTTTTTTAAAAAAAACTTTTTCCAGCGAATTTTGCACTTTTTTTTTTACTTCTCCTTTTTTTTAATTAAGGGCTTATTTTACTCCGAATTTTGTACTTGTTTTGACTTTTCCTATTCTTAATTAGTTTAGGGTGACTAACTTTTTCTTTCTTTTTTATTTTTAACCTTTTCTATGTTTTAAAACCTTTTTCACTGCCCACTTTTATGGGATTTTTTCTTTTAACAAAAAGAGGAAATCATTATTCTTCTTCTTCTTGTTTCAAAGAGAAAGCAGCCAACCCAACAACAAACTTCAAGCTTTTTTCTTTTCAAAATCAAAATACAAAAGCAAGGTAATAAGATTTGATGTTTGATTAAAGTTAGATAATGAAAAAAAAGGGTTAGGGAAATTAGGTTTTGAGATTTTCATTAAAGGAAGGTATACGTTTACTTTTTTTATTAAAGAGTTTGAGTTAGTATACGCTTGCACTATGTGATTGCTAACATGTTCATGTTAAAGGAAGTGAGCACCCACAACCTTTAAATCCTGGATCCGCCACTGTGTGGATCCACTAATTTGGGCCCCTCAGGGCTAGAAGATCAACACACAATGTGGTGGAATATAATCCTATAGGGGCCCATAGTTCAGGGACAAGTGTTATCTAGAACGTAAGTCCACTCGGTGCTAAATAATCCCTCCAAAACATAGCAATATAGCTCATCTTATATTATGCAACATATCTTGATGTCAAAACTATTCATAATCATTGATGGAGTATCTAGATGTTATATTGTTCATGAATCATAATGTTGTGAGGCAGTGTTCAAATATCTATTTCATAAACATATCTTTACTTTTATATGTATAACTTTTAACATGAGAAAACTTACATGAAGTTATCCATAATCTATAAATACTTAGAAGCAACTTTCATATCTTTATAGATAATCTTGACACTTGTATGGAGAATGATAATCATATAATAAAACATGTTGTTCATAGTAATTCATTGTTATGCATGTAAAATCTTTCATAAAAACTCTAACTTTGCATAAAAATCATAGCTTGGAGAAAATTGAGTAAAACCCTTTCTTACGGCTCATAGAACTCAATTTCATGCATAAAATTTTACTAAGTCTGGAATCAATCTATGACCCGTAGAATCAACTATATCACATACTATCCATTTGTTGGTCCAACATCAGTGACTAAAGATTTTCAAAAACTCAACTCAACTCTACGCCTTCTTTTCTACGGCCCATAGATTGAACTCGTAGATCATTGATTTAGTACCAAAACTAGATTTTTCCTTGCAAATTCAACGTTTCAATTTTTTGCGGGGTTATAAATTGCTTTAATTTTGTTAATGTGAGAGGATGAAGGTCCTTTTAGTAGCGGATGTTATAGTGACCCTCACGGTCATTTTTTGGCTTTCATGTTGATTTCTTGTTTCGACTCTTTTCGTAGCTTGTATTGTCACGACCCGAGAGCACCCTCTAGTCGTAACCGGAGCATTCGACCTCGAAGAGGTCAAATACAAGCCTCATGGATCATTCATTAAAATACGATACAAAAAAAACTATAGAGGAGAAATTTAAAGCTTCTTTTACAATCGAAAGAACACCTTTTAAATAAAAAGCAAGCGGAAGACTTTCTAGACTTTATCCAAGATGTCTCAAAACCATCTAATACTTGAATACAACAATGGGACTAAGCCCACTCAAAACTATGACAAAACTATAAGACATAAAGGAGCATGTTGGTTATTGTCCTCGAATATATGAGGACTCACCAAGTCTTCATCTTCAAATATCTTAGAAACCTATCCATCAACCATGGAATATCAACATCTCCAAATCCCTACACTTTACTCAAAAGGGAAAGAAAGGGGTTAGTACAGTTAAGTACTAAGTATGGAAACCATGCAAAAACATGCTAAAAAGGACATTTGGTTGAAAGTCATGCCCTATGACATTTTAGTAAAACTTCATGAATATTGACATATTAGACATATTA